CTGTTCTCGGTAACGTAGGATCTTGGGCTACATCAGCGATGATTTGAGTCAATTCACTGAAGAGAAATCACAGCACCATTTGGGAGAGGGCAATCAATCGTCTTACACAACAAATGAGAGATTTTTACATAAGCAAATAGAAGCTTAAGTGCCACAATATTGGAGAAATGTTGTTTAAAAAGAACACATCTGCCAGACTTCATCAAAGGACAAACTCAGTAAAATGCCCCCATCCCGTACGCAACTTTATTCTAAATTTTTATTTTGTATTTCACACATATTGAATTAAAACGTGTAAATTCAGTTTCATGCAGGAAATCTTATTATAGTGAAGAAAAGATCAGCAAAGTAATATAAATGACCTCTCTAAGTGAAAGCAGTGCATGAGCAAAGTCATAACATGTTTTTTTTTTTTTTTTTTAAAGAATAATTCACCAACCTAGAAAAATCTCAGGTTTGCCACAGGATCAAATCTCAGTACTTTAGAAAATCATCTAAAAAGTTTCTAATTGAATTCACTGGTTGACACATAAAAATCTAAAACTTAACATCACAACATAAAAGTCCACTGTTAGTTTAAGTGATCATAACTCAAGAGATGTATCCTTTTCCATATACGGTATCTTATTTGGCCTATTTGTATGGGAGCCAGTTTCCACCACATGAATGTAAAAAAATGCCAAATCAAAAGTGATATTTACGAGATACAAAGTCATAATTTTGACTTTCAAGCTATGAGATATTCGAATTTCAAACTCTGTATCTCCATTATGACTTTGTATATCATAATTATGACTTTGAAACTAAAAATTATGGTTTTCTATTTGACATTTTTTTATTTTAATGTGGCAGAAACGGGCTTCCATATATTTGACAAAGCAAAACAGAAGATGTATATTATGTCAGAACAAGTAAAACGCTCAAATAAAAGGAACCTAAAGTACTAAAAGTTAGAAGAGTAATCCTGCCACACATTTAAAACTAGAAAGCAGATAATATAACATCTTAGTACTTACTCAACTTCGTGTGTGATCTTATTGACATAGATGCAGCTGCTGTCAGCCTCCTGCTGATAGTCACAGTTTCTACACTGCAGGTTCAAAGAGAAAACAAAACATGATAAAATACGAAATTATACATTAGATCAATGAATATTTTAAAGTTTCATGGCATCAACATAATTTATTTTATACTAGACTATTCAATCTAATGTCATACTGCTGCTGTTTATTTTTCAGATCTGCTCTTCCTCTGCAAATAGTTGCACTATACATCCCTATTAATGCTATGTGCATTTGTTTTGTCTCAAATTAAATATAAAGTAAATCAATTAAATATAACTGAATTACATCCAGTATTCATTTATGACGCATTTATACATTTGTTTAAAACATGCACTTTACAATAAGGTTTTTTCTGTTTCTGGTTGTGAATAAATGGTTACATTAGGGGATATCTTAATTCCCCCGAACTTTTAAAAACGCTTAAAGTCATTTTCCTGACAATATTAAACACATGAAAACCCCACAGTCCCTTTAAAAGCCCAGGCTGGTTAAAAATATCCACGTTTTTAGGAAGATGTCATTGCAAACTGTATGCTAACAAATGAGCGGCTAGTTTCTGACCAAATACTCACCGCATACAGCAGGATGCGGTTCTCTTTGTCTTCCTTTGGATACAACATGTTGTTACTGGGAGAAGAATGAACAAAGTTACTTTGATTTTAATCTGTTCAATACGGGACATCCTTCTGTAGGCAACAAGCTGGTAGCACTTCTGCTAACATGCTAATTCCACTTTCCTTCGTTTATTTTTGGCCGCAACTCACCATTCCTGACAAAATCGTATCCCAACAAATCCCGGCTCGTGTGTTCCAACGTCTATATCCATCTGAAAAAGTTTTGTATAAAGAAAAACAAAAAACAAAAATAGCGATAAAAGGCGCAACGTTTTTTGTTGACAGTGGCAGGGTCTTTTTTTCTTCTTCGTAAGCCGGTGGCAACTTTTAGCTGCAATAGCGCCACCTTCTGGTCAGCAGCTGTCATAACAACATCATATTCTATCCAATGAGCGTACTATTTTCAAGAATTTTAAATAAATAAATAATAATAAATAAAAGAAATACAAAAAAATATTACAAGACTAATTATACTACTACGAGGAGTCATTTTTTATATTTTTAATATTTCTGTCAGATATAAAGGTTTTAATCCACTTATACATTCTACCATTTATTCTTATTTTGTTTTATTTTAATCAATAATCCCTCTATCCATATCTAAGAGATAGTTATTATGCTTTTCTATTAACTAGAAACCATGTAATTTTAAGTTCTAAACATAAAGCTAGATCTTTAGTTCTACCTGTTCTAAATCCAAACTGATAACTTTTATTCTATTCCTTAAACTATAAAATATTACCTTAACAAGATGTGAGAACAAATGATCTATAACTTAAAAAGGGATATTGTTCAGGTTGGAAAGTCGAAACCATAATTGGTACTTTCCATTTTTTCCTTGGTTGTCCTTCATCCCATATCTTGCTTTAACAATATTTTCTCACTTTTATCACTAAGACTGTTCAACATGCAATAACAGATTTGATGTTTACCTGGAGCTGTTTGTTTTCAGTTTTGCTTAAAGCCTTATTCAATCCTATAAAAAAAAAATCAGAATGATTTCCATCTCATTGTTTTCCTCCTGCTGAAGTATTTGGAGTCACCGCCTAACAGGTTGTTGCTTCCTAGGAGGATAGAAATGACGCATTGAAATTGAATAACTTAACATTAGTGATTGTTTTGTAAAATTCCTCAAAAGTATGACATTTATGTTGTGAAATAAAAAAATATATGTTTGTAATAAACAATAGGGACCATTTCTAAACGCAAGTATTTTAGTCTTTGAGAGTTTTATTTTATATTTTTTGGCCCTATTTCAGACAGAAAACTGTCGAACAACACACAGGCAAGAATCAAGATGCCAAAAACAAGCAAAATGAAACAAACTAAGACAGCATTCTCATATTTTCTATTTAGATTTATACACATAAATTTATACACATAAAGATACATAAATAGGCAACCAAGCATTTCAACTCATTAGGATTGGGTCAGTTTTTAAGTTGATTATGTTTTTATTACTAAGTTCATATAAAAGACTGATATTTATTAATTTATCTTAGTGTATTTAAAAAAATGTTTTGCAACAATTAAGGTTTGTAAATATTCTTGCATAAAGGGAAAGGGTTCAGAAACCCAGAGCGTGGACAGGGAGATAATGTGGTCTTCATGCTAAGAATTCCCAGCAGATTTTTCTAACCCAGATTTCCCAATGCATTCCCACAGGGAGTGTATTCACTTTTGTGAGACACTCTATGGATTAATGACTCACAGGTTGCCTTTAATCTGTACAGCTAACAGAAAAAAAAAAAAAACTTTTAAAAGTAAGATATTACATCAGACCAAATACACTACATAAAAAAAATATAGGGTCCGAAAGCGTGACCAGGTGGTCACGCACAGGAGCAGACAGGATCAGGTGCAGATGAGCAGGCTCAGTGGAAAGGGTAGCCGAGACAGGACGTGGAACCAGAACTTGATGCAGGACTTTAAACTGGTCTCCTCCCTGGAGCCAGGCTTACTGAGATAAAAACTGAACTTCCCCACATATAGAGCCAAAACCCAGAGGACTCCGCGGGGGAGGAACAGTGGACGATCAGGAGACAAGACAAACACAAAAACCTCTTTCCACTGGCCGCCAGGATCCAGGACATGAACCATGAAATAAAACTGAACAGACAGACTGACAGAAAACAAATAATGAT